TGCGTCAGAAGGGGATCTTAGATATTACAATTTCTCAGCAAGAGGCTGGGCATTTTTCGAATTGTGATATATTTTGAACAATTGCATCATGATGATACAGACGTCTGATATTGACTGTAGTCCCCTAAATTATTATTCACAAGTATTTGCGGTTAGTATGAGATTACCTTGTTGACAAAAACGTTTAGTAAAAAGACTACATGGCCTACTAGATCGAGATTGTCCAATAAATTTCATAGCAGACTATACCAGAGGCAATGAACGAATGAGCGAAAAACTATCCACTGGCCTACGACGATTTTCCGGTGAATATTCGGGTTAAAGCTTATCGTACAACAAAATACCATTAATCCTGCCTTATCTATTCTGGTACACTATAAATTATGCAATTATTCGTGGGCTCACGCTGAATTTTCCAGGTTTTGCAGACGGTTATTTATGATAAAAGCTTCAGGCATGCCGGTTTTAACGAGCTGCTAGAGCAAATATCGTCATGCTTTATGCCTAAACAATCAAAAAAACAGACATGCGAAAAACCAGAAGTCACCTATTATTAATTTGTAGTATGGTCCGCTTGTGGTCAGACGTCTCTTCTATGACCTCGTAGAGAGTCTTTGATCCAAGATATCTCTTATAAGGGACGAATCTCCCCTCCATACCAAAATATCAATGCAGATGTTCCGCAGGGATCGGTTATATATAAGTAAGCTTCTTTTGACACAATAAAGCTGATCCTCGGTTTTATGGATAATTCAGAATCTCTTTTTGATCAGGAATTTGAGACGAAAAGTTGGTAATAATTTTCTAATTTTCTTACATCTACGATGATTGAATGTAATATCTGAAAGTCATCCTATTCTTTTCATGTCGATAGTCCTCCATGTTTGTCTGGCCAATCAAACCACATGTGTTTAAAATTACAGCGGTCACCTTCATTAGTGCAACTGACACTTTTTGATAATATATTTCAGGGGATCCTTTGTTTTGCCTTTTTACGATCTGTTACTACAATAGTCTGAATGTTCCATACCCTGCTGAGATTGCACGAAGCGATCATCCTAAATTTTAAGATGCCACCACGCAAAACCAGCATATCGCAGGACCACCTGGAGTAGACATTCCCGCTCCCAACAGGACGTCTAGCGAGTTTTAGGTTATGTGTCATCTTTAATGTACCATCAGAAAACTCCAAAAGTCCTCCGAAAATACAAAAAACCACTCACAAAGGATGCAACACACAGTCAATTGTCATGCAATCTCCGTTTAAATGTTGCGAATGCATTGAGACCCTTGAATAAAAGATCTAACCGATATATGTCCGGGTGGAGGGTGGGCTCGAGGGAACAGCTACGAAGATAAAATTTGTTTTTCGAAGATCTGTGGAATTAACAGCAACATTGATGCTGTTCATCACTTCCTGCAATCCAATCGTCCCACCGTGCTTTTCTTGGCGGAGACAAAAATCTCAGAGTCTGCACCGATTAACCATCTCAACTTCCCAAACTACGAGGTGTACTCCAATCTGAGAAAGAACGGGGGAGTTGTGGCTTTTCTCCGCAGTAGTCTTTCCTGCTTCAGAGATGTTTCTTTGGAATCACACCGGAAGGACGTTCTGTGGCTTCGCCTCAAGTCCAAAACATCACCCAAATTTATTTGCTGCCTTTATCGCTCTCCCTTGGGCCATAACTGGAATGACCTACTCGAATACCTCGCCATCCAAATCGACTTCCTAAACATCAATCACCACGCTTCAGAGGTTCTTCTCGGTGATTTCAATGCCCATAGTGAGCTTTGGTTGGGCTCAAACAAGACCGATGCAGCAGGTCGTGCAGTCGAAGCGTTCGCTCTTAGTCAAGCGTTGACCCAGCTGGTGACGAGCCCTACTTTTTTCAACAGCGTCTCGTCACACGCCAGTAGCCTGCTTGACCTCTTTCTGACCAGGCATCCTGTCCCTTAGAGCACTGCTGTCCTGTACCCCATGGGTAACTCAGACCATGGTGTTGTGGAAGTTAGTTTTCTGTCCGAACCCGCTGTGGCAGCAGAAACTCGTACAGGCTGCAAAATTTGGTATTACGGACATGCCGACTGGGACGGGCTCAGAGACTTCTTCTCTAGGTTTCCTTGGAGAGATGTCTGTCTCACTGACGCGGATGCGTCGGCTGTCTGTTTTTCTATAACAGAAATTATCTACGTCGGAATGGAGGAATACATCCCTCACATAGTGAAAGTGCCTAAACCAGGGTCCAACAGCTGGTTTAACAAATCGTGTGACTCTGCTCGCCAGCAGAAGATCAAGGCACACAGAACCTTCCTACAAAACCCCACTGTAGAGAACAGACAAGCCGACGTCGAGTCCAGAAAGAAATATAACGAAGCGGTTCGCAATGCCAAAAAACCAGCACGATATAAAAGTTAGGCACAGGGTAATGTCGCAGCGCAATGGCAGTCGGTTTTTCTGGACGCTGGACAAGCAGATTGAAAAGAACTTCTCACATAGCAGCCTTCCACCACTTGCGTGTCAGGATGGAACGATTGTATCGGACTCAAAGGCCAAGGCGGAAGTCCTTGCCAAGATCTTTGCCGCCAACTCCACCATGGACGTCCCCCCCCCCCCCCGACGTCCAAGTGCCGCCAATTCAGAGGGTTCCCTACAGTATGCGGGAGGTAACGTTTAGGCATAAGACCGTAAGACGAGTGCATGCGAAGCTTGCTCCAGTTCTTTCGCGTCTCTGCTAGACAAATTACCAATCCGGCATCTTCCCAGAAAACTGGAGATTTGCTCATGTCCAACCCATCCCAAAAAAGGATCTAAGACCGACCCTTACAACTACAGGCCTATAGCTCTGCCTTATGTTACAAGTAAGGTGAGCTTCTGGACTACTCGAACGTGACAGCTTGATTAGCGACAGGCAGTATGGTTTCCGGCACCAACAATCCACAGGCAACCTCCTAGCTTACGTCACGCAATTGTGGAGTAAACTCGTCCAGTCTTATGGTGAGGCTCATGTTGTTGCAAACTTCCATCTTATGGCCTTCCAAAAAAGCTTTGCAGATGGGTGGCTGACTTTATCTATGGCCGTAAGATATCCGTCGTAGTTGACGGGTTCTCCTCTTCATCCCACAACGTCAACGCGGGTGTTCCGCAGGGATTGGTCTCGGCCCCAACACTGTTTCTCTTACTTATCAACAACCTCCTTTCCTGCACGATCAACCAATCCACAGCTTCGTTGATGTCAGCACTCTACATGCAGGAATTCAGAGTGACAAGCCGATCTCTGCCGCTGAGCTGAAAAAAAGAAGACTAGGGACGACTCCCTCTCTGACAAGAGACCTGGAGGCTATCACTACTTGGGGACGCAACAATCTTGTACAGTTCAATGCTTCCAAAACACAGTACTGGACTTTGACGAACAAGTTATTCAAAACAATTGCATACGGTTCATTTTTGGCTCACGTAAATTTGATCATGTATCAGCGAAATATCCCGTTCTAAACTGGTTAAAAATTAATGACATGGTCAAGTATCACTATTCAGTTTTTGTTGACAAGTTGCTACGCACGTCTAAACCTTATTACTTGAAGGAAAAACATTCATTTAATAATGATGTTCACTGTAGAACTCTCAGAGAAAATAATATTAGAATACCCCTGCATACGTCTACACTTTTTAAACGCCGTTTTTCTTACAATTTTGCTATTATTTATAATGACCTTCCTAAAGTATATAAAGAATTTTCATTACCTGTCTTTCGACAAAAAGTTAAAACATTATTACTCAACCCTCCAAACATATAATTTACGTAATCATTCATTTCTTTTTCATTCCATCTTTAATTCAGATTAATAACTTTTTGGTGCATTTGGGTGTGGAAAGTATGCCTTTTACTCTTTTTTTAAATTTTACCTTCGATGTAATGAACCAAATCTGTTTGTGGATAGTGTATTCTTTTGAACATCTGCTAGAGACTATATGGTTAAGTGTAAGAGTAGCAGCATGCCAAACTTCGCGATGAAAGTCTGACATTTGGCTATACTACAATGTAATTGTGGATAAATAAAGACGTCTATTATTATTATTAAAAAGCGTTCTAGCGCTCATCTAGTTTTGATGGATGGCCGAGTTCTGCCAAGGAGCCGGCTGGTCGGAGTCCAGATCACCGAGGACCTGATTTGGCCCGAACACATCTCGTTAATAGCTGCAGCTGCTGGGAAAAAGCTAGGCTATTTGTTTAGGGCTAAGAATTACTTTTCTCCGCATGACCTTCTCACTCTATGCAAGGCCCAGATAAGGCCTAGCCTCTAGTATTGCTCACACGTTTGGGGTGCTGCCGCCCCGATTACATTATGCATGCTCGATGCTGTCCAAAGGAGGGCGGTCCGACTGATCGATGACTCTTCTTTAACAGACAGTCTCGGAACTCTTTCGCACCGGCGGTCCGTAAAAATCTAGCTCTTTTCTATCGCTACATCAACGGGCTTTGCTCCTCAGAGCTCTCTTCCATGATGCCGTCGCGCATCGCCCGCCAGACAGACCCGCCTGACTTTGGCGTCCCATCCTAACCGTGTCGAACTTCGTACATCCAATACGTCCGCAACAACAAAATTTCTTTGGGATCATCATAGCAGCCGCGGTGTTCCAGCATTTAGGCTTCTGCCTGCACGGCTGCTTAAATATAAAGAAAATCCAGTTCTTAAGTTTTTTCATTGTATCTCAACCGCGCGTTTTGACTTCGCCATCTCAAAGCCAAGCTGTTGTGTCCCATGTTGTTTTCTCACAGTACAAGCTTTGAATGTGGAAAAATTATCCGAGATCCGAGTCCCAGATACAAAGACAATGTGGTTCGATGAGCCAGACAAACAAGGAGGATTATCTACGATGAGGTCATGACATCTGAAAATACAGGAATATGGACTCACACCTATAAAAGTCGTCATTGTGAACTCCATCTGGAATACACTTATACTTGCAAGATACTGCTTATGGTTCATGGTTAGAGTTGCTAGAACATTGGTAAGTAGAAAAGTGCTGTGACACTTACCTTGGTTCTCCTTAGCTGCCTCTTGCCCTTGTACCAAGTGATAATTGCTGGAGGTCGTGACCCAGTTGATTCGCAGGTTGCTTCGTACCTCTTATCGGCCACCAGAGGGCTGACAGTTTTCAAGATCTTCGCTGTCAGCGGTTTCACTGCAAAATGCGAACTTTGTCATTCGAAACTTAGATACAGCTTTTGCGATATTATGAAATAGAGGATTCACATTTCGGAGTTCTTTATATGCTTTATTCGTACTCGATAAGATCAGGTGTTAATAGGAGCCTTCAAATTCTGTACCCCTAGTTTATGTTTTACCATTTTCTGGGCTCCGCAAAATATAATTTCGCTACCACCTATCTTGACAAAAACACATGTATCGAGAAGTATTTTACGCTACCACCTAATATTTTTCTCACCATAGAAATCTTACCATGACAATTATGTCTTTACCCTTTGGGTAGAAAAACCACGTGCCCAGGTTTCGACAAGGACGACCCCTCAAATGCACTAAAATCATGAAAATTAAAATTCACAATGTCTGAGTATACCCCTACTCCAGCTTTTCGATTATTTTTTTTTTTTGACGGCAAGCTAAGATCTCAGATTTAGCTGTGCTGCGAGCCTCAGCTAGGGTGGCCCTGACCACTGCCCTTTGTATTACTGTGTATTTATTGTATTATTTATTTTCCGAGCATGTTGCAATTCGCACTAATAAATATTTTCTTTCGTTAATGACAAGCCATCATTGGAATTATTGATTCATAATTGAAAAACAGATAATTGCAATTACAGCGTACATGTGTTACTCAAAAATATATTTTTGATTTATTAAAATATAATTATGTAGATACAATGTTGTCAAACGTATCGATTGTACACGCGGTGTATGGCTGATCTGAGATTCCACGTAATATGAAGGGTCCATCATAATATATAGCCTCTTCGTGTCGCAGTTGAACTTCTCGCCTTGTAACTTTTTATTGGCTCAAAAACACAAAACTTACTTAAACCTTCAACGCTGCACGCCTTTATATATTCTAGTAACATGTAAAGATCGCTTTCCAGAAAACTCTGAGGTTAATGAATCCGTGTTTCGAAAATAAAAAGAAACAGTAATGTCAATTATATTACTCACGTATTAAGTCCAACATGACACTGGCTTCTTTCGGTTCTGTGAGCTTGGTGTTTACAGCTTGACAGGTAAATATGGCGTCAAGATCTTTTCTGCTTACAGTCGGCCATGCCAGTCTGTTTTCGATGACATCACCAGCGTTGTGTTCATACTGGTCGTCTACTATGATACCGTTCACAAGCCACCTAAAAAAAAACTTGGGCATCAGGATCACAAACATCTGAATTCACTTGAATTGTTCACTTCTTTAGCATCGTTTTTTCTTTACCCTTATTTGACTATTGAAAAAATATTCAAGCTCCACCTTTAATATAACAAATCTCACGAGAGAGTATGAAAAATAATTCTACTATAGACGCATATTCTCTTGTGTTTATTTGGATTTGGAATAAACGTCATTAGAAGACGAATTTTACATTATCTTTCTATTTACCTTACAACTGGTTGCGGATGACCTCCCACTGTCCTACAGGTCAATATGATGTCATCACCCTCTTCGTGAGGTCCCACCGTGCCATTGAGTTGCCTTCCCCACTGGTCCAGTATCGTAGGGTTTTCAGGGGGAACTGGAACAAAGTATTGAAAATTATTTTTTGAAAATTATACAACATGTGTTCATGGTCAAAAGTGATTAGAAATGCATCAAAGCCCGATGTAAATTAGTTACGGCACGCTACTTGTTCCTCCGAAGCATTGAATCGAACGCAACGCAGATGCATTTATGAGCTCAATACCAGCCTCAATTTCTCCAGCTCGGCAGACAAGTCCAAGGCCCGATCTTAGTACTTATCCGCGAGCATCAAAATTTACTCCCATTTGACCAATCAAAAGGCTTTTTGAAGTAATGGATTTATTGAGTATAGTCGATTTCTTCTGAAATATGTCACACACTGGTGAAGAAATTATATGATTTATTTATTACGTAGGTATATGAGATGTTAATAGATTCTCATAAATCACCTGGACCAGAATTTGCTCCGGAACCAATCCAAATAATCAGAACGCGTTTTTGAAACAGTGGATCAAATTATATAGTTGACTTTTTCTAAAATATCTTTCAAACCTGCATAAAAATATACCATTCCGGTAAGATGGGGCTCTAGTGCCAATCTTAAAACAGGAAATACTTCGTAAATCAGCTGATGTAGCAACAAAGTCCTATATTCTCATTTGATATTACGATAACAATTTGCCCTGAAGCAAATTCGACCAACCAGAAATAAGTTGTAAATCGTAGAACCAAATCTTGAGCAAACATTCAAATAATCAGAACGCGTTTCTGAAACAGTGGATCAAATTATATAGTTGACTTTTTCTAAAATATCTTTCAAACCTGCGTAAAAATATACCATTCCTGTAAGATGGGGCTCTAGTCCCAATCTTAAAACAGGAAATACTTCGTAAATCAGCTGATGTAGCAACAAAGTCCTATTTTCTCATTTGATATTACGATAAAAATTTGCCCTGAAGCAAATTCGACCAACCAGAAATAAGTTGTAAATAGTAGAAGCAAATCTTGAGCAAACATAAATTTCTGAGAAATGTAGGAGAAACTTCCATGATAACCATGTTTTTCTCTTTCTAGGTTAGTAGCGTGTTAGACAAATCAGATCATTGATTTTTGTCATTAAATGACATAATTCCGCTCAATGAATCCCGAGATGGCATAATAGCATGGGCAAAATACAACAAAAATATTGTAGGTTTGCTTGGAGCGGAACATTGTTTCATATGGGTTGAAATGTCAAAATATCGGGTTTCGTTATATTCCCCTGAAAGGGAACAAGATACCACAAAAATACCTAATACAAAAACCGTAGGGAATACAATTATCTATAAAAGTTGTTTTGAGTGCACCTTTAGCAGACCAGGATATGTTTGGTTGGTACGGATCAATACTATTACATCCTATTTTGAGTTTTCAAGAATTTCGCGTTCAATTGTTTTGTATCCAGACTTTTGGTTGCTGGTGGAATGCATTTTTAGAAAAAATTATTGACTTTTTGTTTAGACAAAGTCGGTTGGGGATATGTATTTTAGTATAATGCTTCCATATAGGGTGTTTATTTGAAAACATCCCACCACGAGTTTATCGAAAACCACTGATTAAAAGAAAAAACGCAGAGACACGTTAGAAGATTTATCCACCTTTTAACCAAAAACTACTTAACCCTCTTTCACCCTCGGCTCCCCAGGGTTATTCCTATCAGTCGACTCGTTTTCAAAAAATCGAGAAAAACCTTTATTTATTTTAATTTGTTCAGACAGAACACAAAACACACGAAAATCATCATCATCCTCACTTTTTATTTGCATAAGTGTTCAAAATGTTGCCCGTTAGGGTTTGGCAAACCTACAATTTGTGACAATTTAAAACGGAAACTAGCAACATAAACAGCAATTCGGAAGACTAGACGTGGCAACTCCTCAACTTAAAAGATTGGATGAACTTCGTCCAGGCATCATTAAAAGCTGTCATGATATCCCAAAACATATTTTTGAAAATGTCCGTCAGGAATTTAAACATCGAATATATCATTGTTTGGCCAACAAATTAAGATAAGTAAAGATATCTCTAATTTTCTAGAAAATGGATCGATCGATTTTGAAAAATCAAACGACAAAACAAAGAACTTCAAAATAGCTTTCAAACAAGCTATAACTCGATACCCCTTGTCGTTTAAAATTTTCAAGAGAATGACACTGGGGGACAGAGGGTGATATATTATTATAATGGTATATGATAAATATAAGTGTCTGTCAATTGAACCCATGTTAGTTGAGGCTAACACTTCTTCTTTTAACTCAAATAGTGGAACGGAGTGACATACAATCAATATAACGTTTAATTTTTGAATCTACTGCCATTTTAGCCTCATGACTTCAGCAATTGGTATGGAAGCACTGGACAGCTGATAAAAGGCTGTTCCGATTTAACATATAATATTCCTGCGCTTCTTCACTGTTATACGTTGCATAATCTAGTCCAGGAACAGACAGTGTGGTAGCCAGACATACCGGAACTAGTGATTCATATATCTACACACTGCGAATTTAGAGGGCAACATTAACATGTTGAAGAATCATCAAGAGCTTATCGCTTTTTTCAACATTACCTCTCTCAGGTTGGTAGTGACACTGTTATATACGAAGACCGTTTGATAAGTCAGTGACTTTTTGAATTTCCCGCGCAGTAACTTTGAATGCAACACTGCTGCCGTCAACTGCCATCTTTTATGTGACAGCTGTCAAAATTTGAACGAGCTATGTCATTTCATTTGAGTTTGACAGCCGTTGAAAGTAGACAGTCTCTAAAATTATAACAGAAATGGGGAAAAGTGAATTTCGTGTTCTGATTAAACATAATTTTTTGCGTAAAAAAACCACCACTGCAACCAAACAAAGTCTTGTTAAATCCTATGGGGACTCTACACCACCTATTTCAATGGTGAAGAAGTGGTTTACTGAGTTCCGTTGTGGTCGAACCAGCACAAATGATGCCGAACGTTCAGGTCTCCCAAAAGAGGTCATCACACCAGAAATCGTGGATAAGATCCATGGGATGATATTGGAAGATCGGAGAATAAAAATACGTGAAGTAGCTGAGGCTGTAGGCATCTCTACTGAGTGGGTACATCACATTTTACCGTGTGACCATTTCAAGGGAATGTTTGGCGATGTTCAGCCGCAATCCGAACGAGTTTTTGCGCCGTTTTGTAACTGTAGACGAAACATGGATTAATCACAATACACCAGAAACCAAAGAGCAATCAAGACAGTGGGTTTCACATGATGAGCGTGCACCAAAGAAGGCCAAGGTGGGTCTGTCAGCCAGCAAGGCTATGTCCACAGTTTTCTAGGACGCATGCGGTATCATTTACATGGATTACCTTGAGAAGGGCAGAACCATCACGGGAGAGTACTATTCAGAGCTGTTAGACAGATTCAACGTTGCTTTGAAGCAAAAACGACCGCATTTGGCGAAACAAAAATTGCTGTTCCATCAAGGCAACGCAGGGTTACACACGTGTGTAGTCTCGATGGCCAAAAATTCATAAACTGGGCTACGAACTGCTGCCCCATCTAGCCCGTTCTCCAGATTTAGCCCCCCAGCGACTACTTCCTATTTCCAAACCTGAAAAAATGGCTGGGTGGTATGAAATTTGGGTCGAATGAAAAACATTTTTATTTAAAAAGTCACTGACTTATCAAACAGCCCTCGTATATACTTAGTAGTTGCTGCCATATCAACCTCAAATTCAATCCACTGTTTGAGCAGCAAATGTTTGTCCTGAGATCAAATGAAAAAATAGGTTTTTGTATCTGAGATGATTTATGAGATTCGCAGCCCTCGTATATACTTAGTAGTTGCTGCCATATCAACCTCAAATTCAATCCACTGTTTGAGCAGCAAATGTTTGTCCTGAGATCAAATGAAAAAATATGTTTTTGTAGCTGAGATGATTTATGAGATTCGTTTCGTGACAGTATAATTCTGTGCTGGTTTTAAATATGTTTATTTTTTTTTTAGACCGTACCATGGAGTTACGACGGGTGTGGTTTTTCCCTTATTATAAAAAATAATTTCTCTTATCCGCTTTGGGTAGAGCTTGGTATAAGTTTGTAAGCATAATAATTGTGCGTAGACACACAACGCCACTGCCTTGACGACCTGGTTGTGAATATATGTAACCAAAATAATAATAATGCTCCAGGAAGCTGAACGCCCTGGCAGAAGCCGTTTCGTGCCGAAATAATTTATTACTCAGCTGAGACGGCTTCAGACAGTGAAATTCTCGAGCTAAATTCACCATTTGACATTCCGTGATTTATCAGGGAGCCGATTAATTTCCCAGGCTGAGACTAAATCATTGTTTGTCGGCGCTCTAGACGACTCTTTTTACTTTTGCTTTGAATTAATGAGATCGATAAATATCGTAACGATCTTCGAAAAGCAGTAGAATACAGTATCAGATGGCAGTATAAATACACAATCATATATACGAGTATAACGTTATTTAATACTTTTTGACAAAAATCAGCAGGCAGTAAAAGCCTGAAACAACGTTGTATACGGTTGGTCATGGTCACAGAAACAGAAAGCAAACATACCCTATTTACCAGTATTCATTTTATGCAACATTTGCAAAGTACATCAATGCTGGCAGCATGGTGAGTACCGAGTAACGATATTTCGCCTATGTGATGGACGACCTTGTTCGGCTTTTTTTTATATCGAAACAGCCGCGCAGGCAGAAGCCTAAATGCCGGAACACCACGGCTGCTATGATGATCTCAAAGAAATTTTGTTAATACGATTTTTGAACTGCCTAAGGTTAGTAGAACTGGGAAAAGCTTCCTCTTGTAGATTGTTCCACAATCTAGATACCCTCGGGACAAAGGAGCGGTCGTATCGGCCAGTTCTGGATGTACGAAGTTTGATACGGTTAGGATGCGACGCCGAAGTCAGGCGGGTCTGTCTGGCAGGCACATCGCGCGGCGGCATCATGAAAGAGAGCTCTGAGGAGCAAAGCCCGTTGGTGTAGCGATAGAAAAGAGCTAGATCGCCGACGACCCGCCGGTGCGAAAGAGTCCCGTTCTTAGAGCCTGATATCTAGAGTTGACAGGCAACCCTCTTTTACAGCGGTTGC